GCTCAGTGGGAGATCTGGATGCACAGAGTCATTAGGGGTTCTGGATGCAGGGGAAATGCAGGTGAAGGTGGTTGGGGCTCAGCAGGGGGAGCTGGGTGTTGGGGGAGTGGGGCTTGATGGGGTGGGAGTTGAGGTGCAACTGGTTGGGGATCAGTGGGTGGGGATCTGGGTGTGGGGAGCTCATGAGGGGTATCCAGGTGTAGGGGGGTAGGGATCTGTCAGGGTGAGGGTTCCACTGCTTAACAGTGGAACCCTGCTGCTGCCAAGGGGGCTCCCGTTTCCCCACACAATTCCCCTATCACCTTTTCTTCTCCATCCCCCACTCACTTCCACATTCCCCTCCCCCTGCCCTATTCCACATCCCTTCCTTCTCCCACTGCCTCTTTCCCCACCCCCTTCCCTCATTTCCTCCACACCCCCTTACCCAGCTCCCCTGCGGGCACTCACTGTTGCACAGAAAACAGGAAGGCTCCCAGCACACAGAAGGGGAGCACTACTGGCACGGCAGTGTTCAGCTGCAGAGTCAGGGGAGCCGAGAGGCAGCCTCCTTCAGCTGGGCAGCTCTGTGCTTACAGAAATGGGTGGGGGTGGGATGAGGGGCAGTGGCATGTAACCCCATGTGTCCCCCTATGGCTCACCTTGGTTTGGAGGGGGGTAATCCCCCCGCCCCCAACTGCGCCCATGGCTGTCCCTCTTCCCCGCATAGTTGTCTTCCCATTTTCTGCAGGAAATCACAGGAATTCTGGGGTGGGGAGAGGCATTTTCTGTGGGTGCACAGTCATGCAGAATCCCCCCCCAGGAGTAAAACAAACTGTTCTGATGTTTCAGTCAAAACAAAACAAAATTTTGGAAACAATTTGCCAAAAGTGGCATGACATGAAATGTTTTGGAAATCCGAATCTCAGAGAGGTGGAGGGAAAGGGGGAGAAATTTGCACAGTTCCACCAATAACCCTTATCCTAGCTCTGCGACCCCTGTCGGCCACAGCTCTGACCCCCGCCTGGGGATCCTTACTGACCCTCACACTAGCCTTGGGAGCCCTACCCTATGTAACTATTAATAATTAGAAATTAATTTAACTAAATTTAGTACAATTTAGAAACCAATTTAGTTAAATTGGTGCAACTTTTGTATGCAGGCAAGGCCTTATGATGCCCTTAGTCCTGTGTTATCTATCGGGAGCTGGCTCAGAATGTGGGGTGGAGCCAATGTGTGGCCATAATATATAAAGTTTGACACTCATTCAGGAGAATCATACAGAGAGGTGAAATTGTGATATTAACTCGCGAGAACTTTTTTCCCTAAAAGAAAGAAGTTAGAACCTGCCTGAAAGGAAAAATTAGGAAATTAAATCCACAAACTCAGCATGCAGGTTCCTAAAGAATATCTTATCAGCATCATAAACGCATACACTAGAATTTAAAAAGGAAGCAAGGAGAAAATCCCCTACAGCATGCTTAAGAGATAACGGGTTTTTTTGCCTGAATAATAAACTATTGTATCTTTTAAAAAATAGAATTCTAGACCAAATAATTCTAATAAATTGAAAGCTTTTGGCAGATAAGAGATGCTAAGTGGTAACTTGAAGAACTAATAACCAAAGATATAAAGACAAAGCATAAATTAAAATAATCAGCTATAAGATATCTGGGGGAGAGCCAGTGGGTCTGCTAGACCACCAGGAGGTGCAGGGGACCATCAGGGAGGAGACCGATGAGAAGCTTATTGGTTTGCTTTCTTTATATGCTAAAGGTGTTTTCCATTCTAAAATCAAGAAGAGGCTAAGTTGTAGCTTTCAGGAAAAATCTGATAACACCCTGTTGGTGGTAAATAGTGTGAGATCTGGGTTCCAGTCCAACTCAGAGATTTTTGGTGAAATAAATGTGTTCTCTGCTAGTTCTTTGATTGTTGATTCTGAAAGCCGGTTGATGTCATACACAGGCCTTGAGGACTACCTATTTAGGTGCTAATAGAGAGGGTTTTAATAACTTGCAAACTGTCTCTAATAAAAATAATAATTCTTTTACTGGACCAATATCTGCTGGTGAAAGAGACAAGCTTTTGAGCTTACACAGAGCTCTTCCGCAGGTCTGGGAAAGGTACTCAAATGCTTGTCTCTTTCACCTAGAGAAGTTGGTCCAATAAAAGATATCACGTCCTCCACCATGCCCCTCTAATATCCTGGGACCTACATGGCTACACCAACACTGCAAACAACAACGGAATATATTATTATTTTTATTATTATTTCTATAAAATCCACTAAATGCTTTCAGCACTTTACAAACAAAATAAACAAGAGCCCTAGATACTTAATCTTTCAAACACATGCACACTTGCTTAACCTTTGGCAGATGAGTATTTCCATTGAATTCACTGGTACTACATATGTGCTTAAAGTTAAAAGTGTTCTCTGGATGCGGGCCTAATTATAGACCTAATACAGTGCATGAAAGTAAACAATGGGGGAAGCTACAGGGAATGGGGGTGAGGATAACAAAATAAGGACTCATAGTCGTCGTAGATTTGTGCTCTTATTAATAGGTTCCACGATATATTTTAACAGTGTGGCTTTCGTTTTCCTTTTTTCTAACCAATTATATTCAAGAACCTTCATCGAAAATGTGAACCAAACGTTTTTAAAGGCTTGAAAAGTTTGGTTCATTTTTGTTTTGTTTTTGCCTATTTGTGTCAGACTCTGAAGGACCAGTCTGTAAAAGCTGCATTGCTTTTGTCTCTGACATCTGCTAAAGGTATTGGATTTTTCCAGAATTAGAGCCAAAATTACAGAGCCAAAATTGCAGTAACATAAATGTAAAATATTATGATACAATAAAAGCCATTGTGACAGATGTAAAAACTACTACAGCCTGCAACACACCTATTTATTTCTGAAGAATGTGGGAGATATCTATTTTTGTGAATATTATACATACCTCTGTCTATCATGTCTGCTACCTGGGTAAAAAGAGTTAATTTAGGGTATGTCTGCACTTAAAATGCTACAGCAGCACAGCTTCAGCCCCTCAGTGTAGACACTACAGCAATGGGAGGGATTCTCCATTGCTGTAGTTGATCCACCTCCTGGAGAGGCAGTAGCTAGGTCAATGGAAGAAATTTTTCATCAACATAGCACTGTCTATACTCGGTGCACAGCTACATCGGTCAGGGGTGTGGATTTTTCACACCCCTGACCGATGAACCTATGTAAATTTCCAGTGTAGACCAATCCTTAATCCTGGGAGGGTTCACACTTCTGAAGTAAGGCAAACAATGGTTATAGATAGCCCAATCACTGATGATTAACAATGCAGTTGTCAAAACCTGTTGTTTTGTCAAAGTCCAAGGGGAAATGATCAGCTAAAGACTATTGACTTGCTAATAACTCAGAACCACTGTAACAGACACAGAAGATTGGAAAATGGGGGGAAAACTCCAGGAGGACAGGAAGAAACAGATTTTGCTGTTCAAAGAGACTGTCTAGCAATGAGAGATGAGACCAGAACCCGCGAAGACTATGTGGGAGAAGACAAGGAGAAGTACATCTTGGACTCTCTGAAGGACAATAAGACTCAAATGGCTCTCAGAGAGGGAGAGAAAACTGTCATGCAAGTGTGTGTTGTTTTTTCATATATATGTATCTCTTGTGTTTTTGTCTGAATTAAGTGTGTGTGGGTTAGAGGTGCTTTTGCTAAGTCTGTTATTTTCTTTAACTATTACCAACTCCCTAACCTACTCACCCTGTCAGCCTTTCCTGGCCCTATTATCACCCAACATGACAGCAGGGGGTGCCACACACCCAAACTGAGTTACCTGAGTGCTTACCTGCGGGAAGCGGAGGCCAGCACATCCCTCGGCCCGTGCCGCTTCCCGCAGCCCCCATTGGCCTGGAGCGGCGAACCGCGGCCAGTGGGAGCCGCGATCGGCTGAACCTGCGGACGCAGCAGGTAAACAAACCGGCCCGGCCCGCCAGGGTGCTTACCCTGGCGGGCCGTGTGCCAAAGGTTGCCGATCCCTGGTCTAGATACTACTCAGACTCAAAAGCATGTAGGATCCAAAGTTTGGGTCCAATAGAGCAGCCTGGTGACTGTTCACAATGGAGAGATCAGCCAGGGCTAACACTAAGGTACTTACATGGTCCCCATTACTTTAGTATCTGAGCACCACATAACAATGTATTTATCCTCACAACACCCCCAGGATATAGGAAAGTACAATTATCTTCATTGTACAGATGGGGAATGGAGGCAAAGCCAAGACTAAGGGTGAAATCCTTGCTATATGGGAGTTAGTGGAAGTTTTGCCATTGACTCGAATGGGGCCAGCATTTCACCCTCAGTGTCTTACTCATAGTCACACAGGAAGTCTGTGGCAGAACAGGGAACTTCTCTTGGGTCTCCCAAGTCTCAGGTTAGCTCCCGAGCCATTTGTCTGTCCTGGCTTGTTTAAAAAGTTTAACTCTTGGGAAATTATAATTAGCAAAAGCAATACAAACCCCTCGTTCCCCTTCTCTGTTTAATTTTCATTAAATGTTCTAGAATTCCTGTATTGATTGGAAAGCAGAACTTCAGTAGGTATGGCAAAGGCTACACATACTCTTGTAATATAAAGTTCAGTTTATTTCCTAGGAACTAGTGTGGTTTAACAATGTAATACTTAAAAAAATAAAAAGGCTGGACTGTTGCTCTTAAGATTGTCATATTACCATCTTCAGTTTATTTGGAATCACTTCTCAGGTTACAACAGTAGGAATAACATGTCAGACACTGGTATCATTGACTGCAATTTTGCCCACTTGAGACAACATGGCCACTTTAAATCTGTTTAAACAGTACCAAGAGCCAAGGGCACAGGAACAACAACAACAAATCTAGATCATTATGCATAAGACCTTGTGAGACCTCAAACAAGGAAAATAGCATTAATCTATCACTTAAACCACTGCTCTGAGAATTTAAAAAGAAAACAAAGCACTATACACAATTGCTTCAACTAAATACCTTGTTCAGAAATGTGACTAACACTTAGTGGTGGTGGTTTCTTCATATTCACTAAGGAGGCATTTGTGGTGCTTGCAAGAATTCTTCTTTCTTCTGTACCCTGGTGCCAATTGGTGTCTGAGAACTCTGTCTAGGAAGCTCAGCCCTTAAAGGCACAACCTCTTATAACAGAGGGCAACCTTTGGCACGCGGCCACCAGGGTAAGCACCCTGGCGGGCTGGGCTGGTTTGTTTACAAAGGCACAAAAGCCCTTAAAGGCACAACCTCTTATAACAGAGGATGGTCGGGGCTCTTCAGGTAAGGTGGGGCTGTTTTTTTTTCTGCTAGAGATTTAACCACTTTGTTATATATGAAGAGTATAACATACCATCTCTTAACTTGCAACATTTACTCTTTTAGTACAGAATGCATTTTCTCAAACATTCAAAGTAAATCTTTAAACTAATTTGAGTTAAAATTTAATTACAAAATTGGCCTCCTAAGAAACTTTGCACCCAATGACAGGTTGGTTTTTTTTGGTCATGTATGCAGACACTTCAACCTTCCAATATAATTAAAACTCATTGCAATCTGATGCATAGGCTATATTTGAAGGAATTAAGCTGTGACTAAGCTAAATTAATAACGATTGTTGTATCTAATTGTTATGATTATAGACCGAACTAGGTCAAGAGCTTGGGGTTTATGTATCTGCACCAAAATTGGTAGGGGGTGAATCTAATGTCTAGTACAATAGTAGTTTTTGAAAATAAATGTTATAGGATGGATGGTCATTTACACCATAGGTGTTTATACTAGTCAAGCACTAGTAAATCTAGCCCTAAAACTTAGTTTTAAAAACATTTAAGGTTGACATTAATTCTTTGAAGATCTGTAGAAATATTGCATAGTAGCATTCTCTTTGACCGTCTTGTTTAACATTTGTGTATAAAAATTTCAATAATAAAAAAGTCTGGGATTTTCTTTTCAAAAACTTACTGTTAAAATGGAGTTAAGGCTGAGTACATGGTAGTAATCTGTGGTGTTAAAAAATTACAGGATGTTGCAATTATCCCCCAAACAAACATAAATCCAGAAATTGAGTTAAAATCAAACCAATATGAAATTCAACATGTTCGTTATAAGGAATGCACAGTTAAGGCACCCCAATAACCTTAACTCTTCTTTGTATTGACACTAAGGGAAACATACAAAAAATCTAATGTCTTTAAAAATCCGTTTGACCTAATCTGGAACCACAAACAATATACACTAATCATAATTGTATGGAATGGTTATTGTAAGGTGTCGCTGCAGATTGTCCCATGGGCATGAAGTGGATTAATTTTTTTTTAGTTTACATCCACTCTCCCAGCTGTATCTTAGACATTCTTTTGTTGATTGCCCTGTATTGTTGAAATCTAAATATATTTCTTTAAGCTATTTACTTTCGTTTAAGGTCTGTGTTTCCATAGTTTTGGTTGCTTTTCCTTCAAACCCTCATCAGCATTCCAACCCAGTATTATCAATTCTAAATTCTAAGCATTTTCTAACTCCTACCTTATTTATCCATCTTGGTTCATTTCCATTTGTTAGCTCCAGGGTAACGTCTCATCTCTTTTGTTGCTCAACACACTGTATAAGGAAGCAGGCATGTACCACCTCTATGAACTTGCCTCCTTATTTGGATTCCCACTTTTATTTTTGGGTGACTTGAAATTCCCATGGCCACTATATGTCTCCTTACATAAAAATAACATCCTTGGTCTCACCTTGATTGTAGGTCTGTAACAATATCCAGTAATCTTTCCTTTTTATCCTTTTAACTCAGGGCTGGTCTACACTGAAAAGTTACATCCGCATACCTACGTCTCTCGGGTATGAAAAATCAATACCTTTGAGAGATATAGTTAAGCCGACCTAACCCTTGGTGTAGACCGGGGTAGGCAACCTATGGCACGCATGCCGAAGGTGGCACGCAAGCTGATTTTCAGTGGCACTCACACTGCCCGGGTTCTGGCCACCGGTCTGGGGGGCTCTGCATTTTAATTTAATTTTAAATGAAGCTTCTTAAAAATTTTAAAAACCTTATTTACTTTACATACAACAATAGTTTAGTTATATATTATAGACTTATAGAAAGAGACCTTCTAAAAACGTTAAAATGTATTACTGGCATGCAAAACCTTACATTAGAGTGAATAAATGAAGATTCGGCATACCACTTCTGAAAGGTTGCTGACCCCTGGTGTAGACAGTGCTAGGTCAACGGAAGAAGTCTTCCTTTAACCTATCTACCACATCTAAGGGAAGTGGATTACCTACCGGGATGGGAGGACCCCTCACGTTGCTGTAGTAAATGTCTGCACTGAAGCACTACAGTGCTGCCACTTCAGCTGTGCCGCTGTAGAGTTTTAAGTGTAGACATAGCCTCAGACTAAATTTCTATTCTGTCAACTAAAATGCTAGTATCATTTTCCTCTTGATTTCACTCCCACAGAAGTCTCAGAATTGTGGGCTTGATTCTCGCCCATTCAAGTCAGAGGGTTTTGCCATTGACTTCCCTGAGAACTATATCTATGCAACAACGATAGAATGCAGCCCCTTCTGTTTCATAATTACTCAAATTGTATATTATGACACTCTATTTATAGCTCTAATTCATCAATGTTGTTTCCTGTATCCAGTTACCAGAGCCATATTTTAGTATTTTTATCTCTTCTGTGCTCCACTTTCTTGAGAAGCATTGTGCAAGAATTAGGGAAAAAAATAGGAGAGGTTTTTTAGTAGCATTTACTAGTGCAAGAGTTGTGTATAAGCATTTCTTTGTATCCTGTCCAGGACAAAAGAGAACTGGTATTCAGATCACAGAGGAAAGCATCTAGCCCTAGCAATTGCCTACAACATTTAATTTTTTTAGTTTTATTTAATATAACACTTAGCTAACTACATCATTGTTCAGTATATGTGTTCCTCATATAAACATTCACATTTTTTAGCTCCCAAGAATATCTGATACAGAAAGTACATTCTGTATCACCCTCCAGATTGCTTTGATCATCCACTTGGCTTTTACTGATTAAGGAAATTCTGTAGCTTCATCAGAGGTGAAGGCTCCATCTCCCTCTATTATAGGTATGGTGAGGGCCGGGGATGGGGGGAGTAAATTAACATGATCGAGCATATAATGTGCAAGTGTAATGTTACCTATGTAAGAAGTTAAATAGCTTCTTTTTGGCTGTTATTGCTGTTGACAGGCTGATAGTATTATAATTTTGTCATCCATATAAATTGTTGGTGAGGGATCTCATTAATTCTAAGAGGCATATGTAAAAAATCTCATATTAGCAGCCGTTAGCTTTTTTTCTTCTTTTGCTAAATGAATGTGGGGGACATACAAAAATCCAATTACTTTTTTTAGCTGTCCCCAAGTTCTGACTACCTCATCAGAACTGAATTCTAAACAGTTCTGGTTAATCAACATGTGACAACTTTCTAGCTATAACTGCAGGATTATAATGGGCTGACTGAACTGAAGTTAATTTCCACTTGGCTTTTACCTTCTAATTATTTAACAGCTCAGCAACAAAAATCCTTCACCAACAACATGCCCGCAGGGCTGCTGGTAGACAGATGTAGCTCAGTAGAGTTTAGCTACTGCTAAAGAAAATTACATCCAAAATAATGTTGAAATATTTGAAAGCTGAGAGACTTTGCTGCTCTTTTTTTGCTTCATCAGTTTGGGCGGGAGTCCGAGTGCCTTTTTTTTTTTTTGCTTCGTTCCGAGCGGCTTTTGGGGGTTTTTTTTTTGCTTCATCAGTTCATGTGGGAGTCTGAGCGTCTTTTTTTTCTTTTCTTTTTTGCTTTGGCAAAAATGGTAGAGCCGGTGCATGCTCAAAAATTTTTTACTGATGGGGTGCGTGATCAAAAAAGTTTGGAGACCACTGTACTAATACATCAAAAAATTAAAACAGTAATAACAATATAATTAAGCCAACAGCAGTCTTGCTGACATGCAAAATTAAATATATCCTGAATACTGCATTTCTGAAAGTAAGTTATACTGTCATATAGATAGAAAACTGGTTTATGGCATTGAATCAACAAAAAGCAACTTGTGTTCCTAGGTTTTTGTCTTTTACCTGAGATGGTGATTTACTTTGGGCTTGTCTACACTGGCAAGTTTCTGCGCAGTAAAGCAGCTTTTTGTGCTCAAACTGCAGACATGTACACACTGCCAAGCCACTTTGTGCACAGAAACTCCTCAGTTGCAGCGCTCCAAAAAACCCACCTCAGCGAGAGTCATAAGGCTATTTGCACAGAGGCTCCAGCGCTCTATTGCCAGTGTAGACACTTGATTGCTTTCCATGCTGTAATTGGCCTCCGGAGCTGTCCCATAATGCCTCAAGTGAAAGCTCTGCTTATGGTTTTGAACTCGGCTGCCCTGGAGACATGTGTTCCTCCCCTTTCAAAACACTGTTTCTGACAGCCCTTGCAAGTTGTGCTGATCTGCTCTGGGACACAGAGCAAACCATTAATGTGGAATGCTCGTGCTGTTGAATGCAGAGGCAGGTGTGTGTGTGTGTGAGAGAGAGAGAAAGAGCAAGAGAGGGAGAGAGAGAGAGAGAGATTGCTGTGCAGAGAGCCCAGGGAGGGAGGAGGGGGCTGATATCGGGGTTCCCCCTCCCCCTACCTCCGGACTGGTTGCTTCCTTGTCTTACAAGACAGCATGCTGACACATTCGCTGTCACCCAAATCACATCTCTCTCCCCTCCTCCATACACACACACATTCCTTATCACACACTCTTCCCTCCCCCCCCCACACACACTTCAGTTGAAAAGCAGCTGGCAGTGTAGTAGGATGCCCATGAAACACTGGGATTGGGAAACCTGCATCATGTGATGCTGTGCCTGCCCCATCCACGAGCCATTGCAAACTCTTCCCAAAGCACCCTCCGGCCAGTTGCACAGTGGGGTGCTACCACAATGCACTGCTGTCTTTGCCGTTACAAGAGCTGCTAATGTGGATGCGCTCCAGCATCACAAGGAGCACAGTGTGGACACGCAACAGCAGTTTAATTCAAGCATTTTAATAAAAGTGGTATAACTTGTGGCATAGAAACTTGCCAGTGTAGACATACCCTTACTCACCTCATGTACTGAGATATAAGCTAAACCTCTGTTTTCAGAAACCAGTGTCTTGTGCATGCAAAGTTGAATGCATATGTACAGAAATGCATATGGACAGGTATAAA